ACACTTTCTCAGTTTAAACATTTGATATGTCATCTATGTTGTATTCTGAATAAAATATTGAAATTTGAAACTTCCACATCATTGCATTCTGTTTTTATTCACAATGTGTACAGTGTCCCAACTTTTTTGGAATCGGGTTTGTAGATGTTTGGTGTGGGTCTTGGGCTCATTTGTGTTCTTCTGTTGATCTTCATCATACTGCAGCACATCACCATCACAGCAGAGAGAGACCTGATAAAGAGTTACAAGAACACAGCTGAAGAGTTCAATCAAACCATCAACAGCTTACAGGAGTTACACTGATCTAATGACTGAAAAACACCAACTGCAGAACAACTTCAACTCTTTGTGTCAGAAGAAACAGGAACTGGAGAATAGAGTAGCTGCTCTGAGTGAAGAACTTAAAAAAGAAACAACTAAGCGAGGCCAGTTCACATATGTTTTTATGTTGTCTTTTCTTTTTTTTATCTTGATTGTACACCATTTTATTAAAGTGCATGTTTCTGGGTGGCTCAAGTTGGTACTGCTGATGATTGTTAAGCCTGTAATGTTCCCATGTTCGCCGTGTTTTTCTGACCCTGGACTGCTTCCTTGTTTTTTGTTTGTTTGCTGACTACTTATTCCTCACCTCCTCATGGGTCAGTTAGAGAATTGAAATGTCCTTCAAGATGGCTTAATTTGATCCATTTAACGGGTCACAGGCTGGAGGACAGAGAAGTGAGGAAACGAGGAAGCACATTATCAACTCTGAAGAGAAGCAGGTGAGTTTGTGTGAGTGTCTGTTAATGAATGAGAGAATCACACTTATTCCTGTTTTTATTCACACAGAGGTGAAGAAACGGAAAAGGACGTGAAGTGAAGGTGCTCTTCAAGAGAGAATCTTTAATTATTTTGCATGGCCTGAGCCTAAGGATTTAAACATTTTTATGTGAAGGCCATACAAATAATAGGGTTGTCTGTGATTTCAAAATTTGTTGTGGGTGTATGGCCTGGATGAGTGTAAGTGCACTTGCTGCTGTGTTTCCTGTTTAAAGCTATTTGAGTCCGTTTGAGTGTTTACAGACTCCTCTTGTTGGCTTTAGAAGCTGATAACATAATGTTGAATGTACAAAACACAAGCAAAATCCCCAGAGGTAAATCAACGCTGCTCAGAGTACATATTGTCCCAATCTACTGAGTGTTAAAGTTAATTGCATAATTAAGCAAATAATTTATTGATGAGTGAGCATTAGTAAAGAAAATCTGCTGTTATCAATGTTGAAGATGAACAATTATAGCTTAGGCTTTTAGACATGAAAACATATCACATAATCCTCAACAGTGGTAACTCTGCTTCAGTGTTACTTTAACACTCTGTAGATTGGGACAATATGTACTCTGAGCAGAGTTGATTTAACTGGGGATTTTGCTGCCGACTCTACCGATAGTTTAAGCGTGGCTGTAAGACTTTATTCTTGTCGAAGACCAGTGTGAAATGAAACCACTTCCTGTGTAGACTTAACACTTTTGAAAATGCTAATAAACATTTCAAAGACAATACCTCATCTGTGCAGACGTACTGACCGACACGGTGGATAATGGATTTTTGTTGTGGGTGTATGGCCTGGATGAGTGTGAGATTTCCCGGCCTGAAGTGGTGTCCCAGTCCGGCCCTGCTTCACATCCTTCAATCACGATTTCACATCCTTCAATAAGTCACGATTTCCTACTGGAATGCCCATGATCTCCACCAGAGGGCACTCTATTCATGACTTTTACTATTCACCCAGGACTCCATTTCCCATAATCCTTTGCCCGGACTCATCAGCACTCAACAGTTGTAGTCACCTGTCTCTCATCACCTCATCAGTCACAAAGCTAGCCAAAAAACTCAGCGCATCAGAGAGGCAGAGGAAGGGCCTAGTTCACCTGATGCTGCTGGTTCCAGGCGCTCTGGGAAACACGGAGAACTCAACTCTCACGTGAGAGGAGAACTCTGAATTCAGAAGGAGTAGCATGCTCATAGGTAACTCTTTGATAAAAGGGGAGCACTGCTCAGCACTACCACGAGAACCGCCCATGGAGTGAGGAATCCAACTCCTCACAAAGAAACTAAATGCTCGAATGAAAGCACCATGCTCACAATAACCTTCAATGGTGAGGGGAGTGATGCTTCCAGAGTGTGTCGACAGAGACACACTAGTTGAGTGGAACCCAAGGTACCGGGGTCTAAACCAACTCAGAGAAAGGGAAAGAGGCTAATAGCGTGTAACCCTTACCATACAGGATTTCAGAAAAGTGGGCAAAGCATAACGTGCACACTTACCACTTGTGTGGATTTGAGAAAGTGGGCAAAGCATAACGTGCACACTTACCACCTATGTGGATTTTAGAAAGTGCGCAAAGCTTATACGTGTACACTTACCATAGTATGGATTCAAGAGTTTTCCAAGCATCAGCTCACAGATACCTGGAAGTACTGAGCCAAACGGGAGAGGCAAGCTCAAATACAAATCGCTTTCGCGCATCGCCTCGATGTTGGCATAACTCGTATGCTGGAATCGATGGATGCATGAAGAAAAAACGGCCTCTTCCATTCCTTCTCCTCCAGCGGCTCACTCTCGTCCACAGCCGACGATCGCGAGAGGGAAAACACCTCTTTAAACTCATCGGCCAGATCCACCTGCAATCCCCACGAGCTCATTCTTCTTCGTGCCTCAGCAGCGGCGGGTCCTGAATCTTGGGAAGCAGATGGCTGCCCCCCTTTCCTCGAAAAGAGAGACAAACGAGAGCGGAGCTTTTTCATTGGAAAAACGCTCGCAGTGCACGCCGATTGCCCCCTCGGAGACATCGCGTGCGTGCTCTTCGCCCAAACAAATAACGCATAGATCGTGTGTGTCATCAGATGTCAAACAACGACAACACGGATGCACACATCTTCTAAACGCTTTGCTAGTGCTCGCCCTAATGATATGAATAGAGATTGCTCTTACCACAGAAATGCACGCGTCAAACAAAACAGTCAATGAAAACGAAGAAAAGGATGATGAATGGTAGAACGGTGCCTATTTATACTATAGTCGCACCGGTAGTGACGTCATGGCTGTCGCCGGCCAATGTGTTGTTGGTGTTTTTTCAATATATGCTTCAGGCACGGGTCACGACGAGCGCAGTTCAAAGTTCTCATGAAAGGGAACTATAGGCTATATATCATATCACAGGCCTATAAATTGACTACATAGAGTGTCAGTAGTTCTTGTGCATACACTGTAAGGCTTCATGAACTGCACGCCTTATAAAAATGTTTTCTTACTGTTGCCTGTTTTCATTACTCAACTCCAACGCTTTGAATCAGAAGACATGGTGTTGGACACCAGATTCAGTAACTGTTTTCAAATGCTGTCTGATGAGTGTCCTGTTGTTGTTGTTGTTTCTCTGATCTGGAAAGAATCTTCCGAACTTCCTTCAACCAGATCTAAGTTCAGAGTTAAAGGTAAATGCATTTCAGTATTATTATAAGTTTCTTTAGCTTTTTAGACTGTTTATTTATTCACTCTTAGTAAGAAAAAAAAAAGATTGAACACTAACATATAGAAAATGTGACTATAGCTAAATTTGACAGCAAACTCACACCAGAATTTGTAACCTTTTTCTCTTTTCAGAAAATATTCTTATCAGGAAATATTCTTCTTGAAGCACAGAGCCAAATGAAATAACTTCCTGTGTAGATTTAGCACTATTTTAAAACACTTGTAGTCATCATTCCTTCCAAAGATCACAGATCATCTGTGAAGACGTGTCAACTCAACCAGATCGGTCCTGGCTCCAATAATTTTTTTATTTTATTTTTTTCCTTGGTGAAAGAAATACATAGATGAAGAAGAAAATTATTATTAAAGATATCCTAATATCCTTTTAGACTATATTTTAGTTATGAAACTTTTATTTTGGTATCTTCATTTGTAAGGCCCTATTTCTAGGAATTTCAATGTGGCTCCATGTCCAAATTGTTGAATATTACCTATTTTCAGTGCTCAAATACCAAATGTGGGTCACATACAACTGATATGTAATGCATTTAAAGGGGTATGTATGAAGAATCAATAATGTTAAAACTAGAATTGTAGCTCGTTTCCCTCCATCAAAACAATTTAATATTAGGCACATGAACTTGTTTTTTCTGCTTTTATATCAAGTATATTAACATGGAATTGTTTTTCTACTTTTCCAGCATGTGGTCTTGTTTGAATATTTTACTTATGTTTGTCTTTCTAAAAGAAAACGCTTTTTAAATGCCCTATATTTTCTAAATACGACAGTGGATTGAAGGATTATTTTAAATGTTGTATCGAATAATTTGGAGTGAATTGTTATTGATATTTGATGCTTTTTACTGACACAGACTTGTGATGGGATAAAGTTTGTTAATACATGACTGTCATGGTTTTCGTTTGTCAGAAGTTTGTTTTCATAAAGTATGCTGATCCTTATGATTCAGAGAAGAAAATATACTTGCAATAGAAACTCAAGTACTGCATCATGCGCCACCACATCTTATGATTTTGTAACCAGCTTTGGAAATGAAATCACTTCCTGTAGGGTTTTAAAAACACTAGGCAACATACTAAAAATCACAACTCATCTGTGAAGACGGGCAGCCACAGAGACTAATGGAGATCGAGACCATTTATCAAAATGTTGAACACAAAGACATTAAGGACACATTTGGACCTCAAACACAGAGTCACAGCCAGGATGAAGGAAAAGCTAAAAAATGCAGTAAGCAGAAGGTTTCTTTTGAAGCAGAGATTGAGGAACTAAAAACTGTTATACAATTTCAGTCTCTGTGTTCTATGAACACGGTTTCTGATTTTAAATGAAGTGTATTAACATTTTAACAACATTATTTTAAGCATAATCATGTTTTTGAATACATATTTTACTTTATAGGAATTCCAGATGTTTGTCATTATAAATAAACACACTTTACTTACAGGTTGATCTAATGATATTCAGTGAATTGTCATTAATTGATATGTGTGTGTTTTGGTGGTGTTTGTCAGGAGGAAGTAGATGTTTGGTGTGGATCACAGTGGGTCTCGGGCTCATTTGTGTTCTTCTGCTGGTCTTCATCATACTGCAGCACATCACCATCACAGCAGAGAGAGACCTGATAAAGAGTTACAAGAACACAGCTGAAGAGTTCAATCAAACCATCAACAGCTTACAGGACAGTTACACTGATTTAACACAGAACAAAATCAAGTTAGAAAGCAAAGTCAGGTCTCTGAGTGATGAACTGAAGAAGGCAGCATCAAAAGGAGGTTAGATCAAACCTGAGTTTTTTTCCCCCATATTTTTGTATAGCTTTGAAAAGTGTTTATGCATGAAAATCTGTGTGGTTCAGGTTGGTTCTTCATGTCCACTGAGTTGAAGAGCTGGTCTGACAGCAGACAGTACTGCAGGGATCGTGGTGCTGATCTGGTCATTATCAACTCTGAAGAGAAGCAGGTGAGTTTGTGTGAGTGTCTGTTAATGAATGAGAGAATCACACTTATTCCTGTTTTTATTCACACAGAGGTTCATATCTTCATTAGTCAGTGAGAGTGCGTGGATTGGTTTGTCTGACACAGAGAACGAGGGCATCATGAAATGGGTGGATAATTCACCACTGAATCAAGGGTAAGAGCTAAAACACTCACAGAAAACTTTATTTATTTTTTTGAGACCCTAATCATAGTTTAACCATGGTATTTGTAAAACTGCAGTTATACAAATGGGAATCAATACACCAAAAAATATGGTTACTATACCTTTATCCCAGGAGTGTACCCCGACACGTAATTGCTTACAACTAAACGCTATCATAACTATTTAAGCTAACGATAGCTAGCTAGCGATGCTGTCTCGTAAACGGCATCATAATGGTATTATTGATGATTGATAACTTGCCTTAATAGTCATGAATATAACTGAATGTGTACACAGGGTTGTGCAATATATCGCAATATGCATATCGCTACGGCTTGCAATATATGGGGCCATGAACAAAACACAAAGAGAAAATCACTCACTGCTCTAACCTAAATAACTTTTATAGCTTAAATAAGAATCGGTGCATATTGAATTCATAGAGTAAATACTAAGCAGTGTTGTAATTTTCCTTTTTATTATTCAGTTCCTAAAATTATGTTTGTTAACTCATGTTAAAATGACATTGTTATGTAATGCTAGAGTAAAACACTATGGTTCACTTTCAGAAGTTATTGTAGGGGTGCTTTCTTCTCACAAAAAGTGAAAAAAGCTTTTTATTTCAGATAAATTATGATCTTTGAATCTTTCTATTCATCAAAGAATCCTGAAAAATGTAATCAACTGTTTTTTTTATATATATTGATAATAATAATCAGAAATGTTACTTGAACAGCAAATCAGCATATTAGAATGATTTTTGAAGGATCATGTGACACTGAAGACTGGATCAAATAAATGCAGGCTTGGTGAGCAGAAGAGAATTCTTTAAAAAAACATAAAAAAATCGTACAGTGAAACTAGGGCGCTCCCCTTACAGCACAGCTGATTTTGAGAGTTGACCGGAAATGACTGAACTGGCTTATCTAAAACCAGGAAGTAAATGTGGATATAGTCCATTAAAGGGGTCATATGACGTTGCTAAAAATAACATTATTTGGTGTATTTGGTGTAATGAAATGTTTATGCGGTTTAAGGTTAAAAAAACATTATTTTCCACATACTGTACATTATTGTTTCTCCTCTATGCCCCGCCTTTCTGAAACGCGTCGATTTTTACAAAGCTCATTGTTCTGAAAAGCGAGGTGTGCTGTGATTGGCCAGCTATCCAGTGCGTTGTGATTGGCCGAATACCTCAAGTGTGTGACGGAAATGTTACGCCCCTCACCATACTGTGATGATGCTGATGATGATCAGGTCGGAGCGATGATTAAAAAACATGAAAACCCATTATAAACGAGGCATTTGCATCCAGTGGGGACATAATTATGGATTATAATGACTTATACTGTCTTTTTACGCGTTGCGTTGTGCCGCGTAAACATAAAACCATGTCTGCATTTGTGATCGGAGAAATGACAAACAACAAGCCCTACTCTACACTGCTCAAAACTAGGGGACTAGAGTGAGGAACGGCGGGAGGGTTAGAGTGAGCAGAGGCGCGGGCTTGAGAACGGCGCGGCCGGCGATTTCGACGAAGGAGCGTCCGGAAGGACATGTGACGACTCCGGGCTGGACTCCGCTTTGTCCACGGTGAAAGCCGATCTGGCGATCCACAGCGCAAAGTTGATGTATTTCCTCAGCAACCAGCACGGATCAGCTCCAGGCATGACGAAGCCGATATCGTCATATCGTCGAAGTAGTTTCGCTTTCACAAAGAAACGCACTGTGCCTTCACGACATGGCGGCGGCGGCAACAACAATACTACAGCGAGAATAAAAGTTACGCCTTCTTTCTTTGCGTGAACATTTGGGCGGCGTTATGCAAATCTTCCCACATTGTGACGTAGACATGTGGGGGCGTGTTAGAACGAGCCGTTTTAGGTAGGTGTGGTTAACTCTTAACTTTTATAAAGAATATCTCTTTGGGTTTAAGACTTTAGTCTTTGCAACTTTACAGATCTTCTTAATGCACCAAGAGCTTGTAACACTCCAAAGAGAAAGGAAAAATTTTAATCGCATCATATGACCCATTTAAAGTGACTTCCCAAAAAAAAAAAAAAAAAAAAACCCTTCTTTCTTTCAGTTTTCTGCATTTTCACGTCTGCTCAAGCTTCTGTACTACTTTAGTTTACTCTCACAACTTTGAGGTGCTGTTAGCCTTGTTGGTTCATGAAATGCTTGTGATGCTCCTCATTTGTTAGTTGCTGAATGAGTAAAAACTTTGTGGCTGATAGGATTGAACATTTGTGGTCCTGGATAATTGAACATCTGACCCATTTTATTCAGGTTTTGGTTCAAGGGTGAGCCAAATAACTTTGGTGGAGATGAGGACTGTATTGAACTGAATCCTGAAAAAGACAACCGGAACAACTGGAATGATCGGTCATGCTCTGACACGAGAAAAGGGATTTGTGAGAAATAGGGTTCATCTAGTCTTGTCATGCTTTTACTTGTATTACCTTATGGAATCATTCTTATTGTGACATGAGAATGTATAATATCCGATTGAGGTTCCAGTCCAATGAACTGCTTTCAAATGAAAGGGTACTATTGCACACCAAACCTCTGATGTGTGCAATGTCTTGCTCTATTATAGCAGCATGTTAATATGTCCAGGATCCATGTTAATATATTAAGTGTCTGTGGAACTGCTTTTGATATGCATTGCTTTCTTTCTTAATAAAATTGTTGACTGATGAGAATGTATAATATCCGATTGAGGTTCCAGTCCAATGAACTGCTTTCAAATGAAAGGGTACTATTGCACACCAAACCTCTGATGTGTGCAATGTCTTGCTCTATTATAGCAGCATGTTAATATATTAAGTGTCTGTGGAACTGCTTTTGATATGCATTGCTTTCTTTCTTAATAAAATTGTTGACTGACGGTTTTATCTCAGCATTTGTGTTTTCATTTCATATTCTGGTGCATCTGCGTCACGGTATTTGACGCCCAACTATGGCGAGATTTCCTCCAGTCCAGCAGGACGCTGCAGAGAGCAGGTTTATCAGACTGAAGTCTTCATAGAGGAAGACAAACATCAGATCCAACAGTTATAACTCGATGGAGAATCGGACACTCGGAAACATTTCAAGTTTTCCTTTCTCTTTGGAGTGTTACAAGCTGATAGATAGTGCATAGATAAGATCCCGGAAGTTGCAAAGACTAAAGTCTCAAAACCAAAGAGATATTCTTTATCAAAGTTAAGACTCTGCCACGCCCCCCTAAAACGGCTCGTTCTAACACGCCCCCACATATCTACCTCACTATGTGGAAATATTTGCATAATGCTGACAAAATGTGCACGCAAAGAAAGAAGGCGTGGTTTCAGTAACCACGGTTAGTGTTAAAGCAGCCATGTCAGGGAGAAGCTGTGTGTTTATAGGCGAAAGCAAAAGCACTTTATTTGGCCTTCTGAAAGTAGATGCATTTAGAAATATTTAAGATCACTTACAACAGAACAGCAATGCATTTTATGGACCGTTGAGTGCCATGAAACAGCTTGAAAGATCAAAGACAATTTTTAATATAACTCCGACTGGATTCGTCTGAAAGAAGAAAGTCATATACACCTAGGATGACTTGAGGGTGAGTAATTTATGGGCTAATTTTCATTTTTGGGTGAACTAACCCTTTAAAGGGACTTTGGAATTTCCCCTGCTTATTAAAAAGTTACGTTCATATACATTACAGTAGCGTAGCCTACATCAATAAAATGTCCATGAAATGACCTGACCATGATTAATTGCAATGTGCCTGTAACATGAAATATGAATTGACAATTATGGAGACAAACGTAGCACAGTTGAATATATGTATCTCGCGTAGGTCTGAGATTGGCTCGATACCAGTTTGACGCGGTGCTAGAAGTTCACCAGTATTTAAACCTCAGTTACATTGAATGGCTGGTATAGTGTCTCATTTAGAGTCTTTAGCATTCTTTTCCAAGTAAATTTTATGGCTGAATGATAATTGTATCAGTGTAATACATCATGTGAAAAGTCAATTAAATCAAATGTTTAAGATCCAGTCTTTCACGATCTCTCTGTCAGGACGTGCCAGGTTTTGGTCTGATATTCAAAGCAGTTAACACCTTGGCATGTTAACTCTTATATTTTTACAAGAGATGCAGATACAGAAAGAGTAGAAAACATGAGATCAAGTGATAAAATAACTGAATAAAGATTACTGAATAATCTTCGTTGCATTCTTCTTTATGATCAGCATAAATCTTATAAAATATAAAAAATATATTTTATGAATATATATTCTTATTTTGTGCATGTGAATTGGTTTTTGTGAATATTTTTTTTTTCCGTGCACGTGAATTATTTCTCATGTATGTGAATTGGGTTACGCATGTGTGCATCGCGTCTTTTGCATTAATTATTATTGAGATCATTCTGGCTCCATAGTCACAGGACTCTGTTCCCCTTTCGGGCTTGAACTGATGGTAAAACTAATGACATTATTTACTGTCTTTACATTTATTTTGAAAGATGACGCTGGCGATTATGGTAAGGGGCGTTACATTTCCGATGAGTGCTTGCGGTGTTCGGCCAATCACAATGCACTGGGTCAGCTGGCCAATCAGAGCAGACTGCGCTTGTCGGAAGGAGGGACTTTGTAGAAAACGAAGCGTTTGAGAGAGGCGGGGCATAGAGGACCTACAATAATGTACAGTATTTGAAAAATAATGTGTTTTTTGAACATTAAAGCATGTAAACATATTCTGTTACACCAAATAATGATCTTTAAAAAAGCATCATATGACCCCTTTAATAAATCACTCCAGATCATAAGAAAACATGAATCTGGTCAATGTAATCATTGTGTACTTTCAGAAACTGTAGAGCATGTGCTGATTAACTGTAGGACATATGAAAGGGAAATAATACAGTTAAAAGAGGAATTAAAATCTGCTCGCATTAATTCTATGACATTACAGAATGTGTTAAACAGTTCTCATAAAGGTTATAAAGCTCTTATTAATTTTCTGAAAAGAACCAATGTATATAATAAAATATAGGTAGAATGATTTTTTTTGTTTAATCAGGATGTCCCTTGATATCACCGCCTCACACTCCATCCCAGTAGGTGGAGGAATATGCACCAAAATCTGGTTTGCCAACCACCATAAAACATCAAAAGAAGAAGAACATCAGCATTAAAATAGGACATGGTTCATTAAATGGAAATCTTCTAGATTAAGACTGGGACATACAGGGTTGAAATCAACACTGGCACTTATGGGTTTACATGAAAATGGGTTATGCGATGTATGTGGTGTATCTGAAAATGTATATCATGTACTTTTTAGGTGTAGTAAATATAGTGTATATCGTGACATATTCTTTAGTCACTTTGTATGGAAGCATATAGGTAGCGAAATTCAATTTAAAATGCAATATTCAAAATGGCAACGCAATATTCAAAATGGCATTGTATTTCTGTATTTAAATTGACATTTTCCATTACCCATACGTGCAAAGTTTACAATAATACAATAATGATATTTTATACCTAAAATAATACTCAACTATTTCCTGCATCCTGCTGTACTTCCCTGAATAAGTCTTTAAAGGTGTTGTAGGTTAATAAGTCGTTCTGAGTAATAAATTGAAAAAGCTCCCACCTGTATATGACTAAACAAAATAACGTTTACTTGAGGTTCTGCTATAAATGTGTCTATTAGAAACATTCATTTAAATTAATTAATTATACAAAAATTAGTTTGAAATGAATTAAGACTTCCCGAGTTTTTGAACGAAAGTCCTGAATGACTGTTATTAGTTATTAAAGGTAATTTAATTAATTTTAATGATTTTCAATGCCCCGCAGAAACCCTGCCTTTGTTGAAAATGTAAATAAATTATTTGAATTATGTTTGATTATGTTATAACACTTTTCAGTAATAATATTTCATATTGAAGTACGTCGCAACACAGACACGTGACACCAACGCCGTAGAGAAGTACGTCGCAACACAGACATGTGACACCAACACCGTAGAGAAGTACGTCGCCACCACAATAAATTTATATCTTACCCTTGTGTGTTTTTTTCTAGGTTTTCTTATTTTCTTTGTTATCCTTATTATCAATCATTAACTTTTTTCTTTTACTTTCCTGTGTTCTGATAACATTGAATATATCCTTGATATAAATTGTGTATTGCATACAAAGCTGTATGTCATTAATGTCATCTCTGTACTGTTTACGAACATAATAATTAAAAAAAGGATTCATTCACTTTCTCTTGGAGATTAATGACACCATCAAAGTCGCAATTTTATGTTATGTTGTCGATTATTTACAACAACTTCAAATATAAACACAAATTTAATAATTATAATCTATAAACATGATATTCTGGGATATGTCATTCTGAGCTTTTACTTTTGATGGTGGTAAGAATTTTAATTAACACAAATGACTATACAATGTGTGAATACATTAGCTCAAAATATCAGACTATATGCCATATTGTTTTCAGGAGATGAAGTCATTTTAATAGCATATTATTTTCAAGAAATCAACAATGGCAAAATATATGACAGGAAAATACTATTCTAATCACAAATTTCAAAACAATGCAGGTTCATTTTCAAATGTTTTAACTAGGGCTGTCAGTAATGAATATTTTGTTAATCATCTGCTAAAGATTTTTTATTTATTTTTTTGGTAATTAAGATAAGTGAACAATATCTTTTAGTACGAATTCAATACATGTAATAATTGAGGCAATAATACTTGGTTGAAATTAGTAAGTAGTCATATTGTTTTACTGATCAACACTATTAAAATAAATTAAGAAATGTATCAACAATAAACTTACGTATTTTATGTATTATAACAAATGCCAGCGGCCTGACGATTGTTGTTACACTTTACATCAGGAGCAAACCATTGTTTATCTAATGTTTAATTGCATTTAATCTGTAATGTTTGGCCACATATTTATGATAGAAATGCTACAGCCAACAGTTTAAAGTTTTATTTTGGAACCTTAAACATTTATTTATATATTTATAAATATATTGATGCATTCTCATTTGTTGCTGGTGTATGTTTTTAAGTTGCTACAAATAATTTCAACAGCACAAGTTTTGTCCACATTCCCAAATGCAAGTTATTGTGGGAAAAAACGTACCAAGCATAGAATAAAATAATACAAGGACTGTAAATGGTTTTGCCACAAACTCAACTCTGTTGAACAGAACAGTACCAGAGGGTTAAAGTGATAGAGATGTTTATGCTGTCCCAAAAACGTATTTATTTTTCTTTCTTCTTTGGAAAAAAAAAATTTAAAAGGAGACTTATGGAAGACTTTTCCATGTCCCTCAAAAATATGATTATTGAGATTTCTTAAAATAAACACAATGGTTCATTGCAGAGAAATTGTGAAAACTCTTGAAACCATTCATATTTACTGTACAGCTCAGCTGTACATATTTATCTGTTTTCTTGTGTTTTTTCCAAAGTTTTTTAATAACATTAGGCTTAAACGATTCCTTATCCTATGGCTCCCTCTAGTGGGCAACGTTAACATCACAGCCTTCATTCCTCTGTTGAAATGGCTGATGGTTTAGAGCAGGGGTTATACAACAAATAATACAATTATAATAGATGAATACATTTCTGATGCACAGGAGGAGAACATCCAATTCTAAAATAAGGGGTTCTCAACTGATTAGTGTTGGAGCTAAACTCTGCAGGAAAGTGGACCTTGAGGACCAGAGCTGACAACCCCTGTTTAGAATTTTCTAATTCTAATTCTAATTCTCCTCCTGAACATCAGAAATTCATACAGCTATACTCATTTAACCCATATTTTATTGTGGGTTACAAAAGTGTACTATGAAGACCACCCACTGCTGTAGTGCAGCAGGGGTTCCCAACCATGTTCCCATTTTATGTTTTGGAGTCTGGACATTTTGTATCTCTCGCTTATCTGACATACACCCACTTCAGGTCTTGCAGTCTCTAATGAGCTGAAGAGTTGAATCAGGTGTGTTGATGAGGGAGACATAATGTGCAGTGCTGGTGGGAAACATCCTGGATGTTATAAACAATTTACATATTAAGACTACTGTTGGAAATGGCAAATGTAAATTATATAATTTCATTTTCCTTTTGCAACAAACTTTGCACATATGGGTAATGGAAAAAGTCATTTTAAATACAGAAATACTTGAATATCGCGTTGCCATTTTGAATATTGCATTGCCATTTTGCATATTAAATTGAATTTCGCTACCTATATGCTTCCATAACTTTGGGGAGGGAAGATTAACACATGAAGATATTTTAGGAAAAGGTTTAATGGATAGACAGGTATACAGAGCACTAATTAAATATATCTATGACTCAGGTTTAGGATCTAGATTTATAATATGTGTGGATGGGAGTATTCTACCTATTCTGGGGCATGAAGAGCTAATTGTGAGTGTTAGAGGAGCTGAACACGCAGCGCTAGCATGAGCATGTGATCTGAGTGCGCCATAGATTGGAGAGAATAGGAAACATCCACCATGGCTTTTGGGTGTTTTGAATGTTTGGGTTTTTTGGTACTCAAATTCAGACTCATCACCTATGAAAGTTTACTTGAGCTCCAGTACAGTAGGTGGCGATAATGCTCCTAAGGAGTTATTCGCCATAAAACAAGAAGAAGAAAAAGAAATGGAAATCTAAATAGAATCAAGAAACATCCGAATGGATTATGCATGCATTGTGGGGTTTTTGAAACTGTAGAGCAGTGTTTCTCAACCAGGGGTCCGTGGACCCCTAGTGCTCCTTGACGTAAGACCAGGGGGTCTGTATAAAGTATGAATTTTTGTATATTTTGACGACATGTTCCCATGAAAGAAAAATCCAATATAGCCGATGATATAGGCAAATACTGGACAAGTCAACTAACTTGAATAATACTTGACTGCATTGGTATTGTTAGTCTATCTATTTAGTGTTAGAAACAAGAATAGCTTATCTCTCGGTTTCTGCCTCTCAGATCTGGAGTGGAAGATCATCTACGTGGGCTCGGCGGAGAGTGAGGAGTATGACCAGGTCCTGGACTCGGTTCTGGTCGGCCCAGTTCCTGCAGGCAGGCATATGTTTGTGTTTCAGGTGGGTTAGTCGTTACACTCTGGGAAATACTTGTTCAGCCTGGTTCAGTGCAGTAAGATCAGCTTCCTGCAACCAAATCTCACTTCTAAGTCATATAAATAATACAGTTTTAGAAAATAAATTGCAGTGCACTGCCACCTAGAGATGAATTGAGAAAGTACATCTGTAAATTTGTGTAGAGATGCATGCTCATCTCATCTCCATTCCATAAAAAGCACAAAACAATGAAACATTAAACAAATGACCATTAAAGCTAGTTGTTTGCCAGATTAATATGTAGATGCTATTGTCTGTTTCCATGTTTAGATGAGTCCCTAAATAGTTAGCAAGGTTGTTTTTGCTCTCAGTGGTTTTGAATTGGCCTGAGGTCCAGCTTTGTTTCAGATGAGACTATGGGATGGTCTCACCAAGTGCACAGGTTCTTGTTTGTTTTTACTGTGATGCTAGAAACAGTTCAAAGCATCATTAAATGTATACCTTGGATTAGTCATGAAATTCAAAGGGCCATTTGTAGGTACCTGAATATTTACCATCTGCATGCTACAAAGACGGCTTGGAAACAGCAGAGTTTTGTCTCTCTTGACTTGATTGACAGGCGGACGCTCCAAACACAGGGCTGATCCCTGAGAGCGATGCAGTGGGCGTGACCGTCGTGCTGATCACATGCACCTATCGGGGACAGGAATTCATTCGCATTGGTTACTATGTAAACAATGAGTACACAGACCCTGAGCTGCGGGAAAACCCACCTGTCAAACCCAACTACACACAGGTGAGACATTATTATTCCAGCTTATTAATATCATATACTTATATTTCTAAATATCTAGTCTATTACTGGTGAATTGGAACAGAGATATGAAAGGGAAACTCAATTTAGACCGGAAAGCCCATTAACACTCAGTAGACATTATGCATGTTATATGTGACCCTGGACCACAAAACTAGTCATAAAGGTAAATTTTTCGAAATTGAGAGTTATACATCATCTGAAAGCTGAATAAATAAGCTTTCCATTGATGTATGGTTTGTTAGGATAGCACAATATTTGGCCGAGATGCAACTATTTTAAAATCTGGAATCTGAGGGTGCAAAAAAATCTAAATATTGAAAAAAATCGCCTTTTAAGTTGTCCAAATGAAGTTCTAAGCAATGCATATTACTAATCAAAAATTAAGTTTTTATATATTTACAGTAGGAAATGTACTAAATATCTTCATGGAACATGATCTTTACTTAATATCCTAATGATTTTTGGCATAAAAGAAAACTCTATAATTTTGACTCATACAATGTATTGTTGGCTATTGCTACAAATATACCCCAGCGACTTAACACTGCTTTTGTGCTGCAGGGTCACATATATTAAGAGTGTATTCGTGTAACACAGATCTGCTGCATTTGAAATGTGGTAATGCCGGTCAGATCAAAGAGGCAGGTGGCTGCCGTTTTCAGTCCGATATTGTTTGTAATTCATCAATTCTGCTAAACGATTCCGGGTCGCTGCCATTGTGTGTATTGTTACAAAATCCCATATTTCCATGCATTCATTCTGTTGCGAATCGAGATTCTTAAACCGTTTGATGAATATTAACTCACATAAAACATGTTTTAAGCATAGAAATGGTCACCACTACTGAGATATATTTTAATAATAATTATAATAATAATATATTGGTAACACTTTACAATAAGATGTCATTTGCTAACATTGGTTAACATGAACTAACAATGAAAAATACTTCTAAAGCACTTAATGTTAATTTCAAAATGTGCTAATACATTATTAACACCAACACTTGTATTTTTATTAATATTAATAAGCGCTTTAACAAGTGTCTTTAACAAAAATTATCTAATGGGCCCTAGAGTAAATGATATTTTAAGGAGTAATGTTAGCATTGAGTCTTTACAGTGTAACGCTGACATATTCAAATCCAAACAATTCAAATTATTGTTCTTTTTGATTTTTCATCATCGTTTTTTTTGTGCCGATTCGCAGCTGCAAAGGAACATCTTGGCGTCTAACCCTCGAGTGACCCGTTTCCACATTAACTGGGAGGCTACTATGGAAAAGATGGAAGATTCGGAGAATGTAGACCCCGCCCCCAATGCCATGCTCCCGCCCACCTCCATGCCTGGCAAAGCCCCGCCCCTTGGACTCATGCCTGACAACTCTATGGACTGCTTATAGAGCTTGAACACAACAACAACAACCTCATACATGAAGTAATAAATGTGTCATTTTGTATTTATACACCTACATGTTCTTACAGTTGTGATTGGACACACACACATCTCAATCCTCTGGCACTTATTGCTCTGATCACACACACCTGAAGTAGTCTCAGGTAGTCATCAGGTAGTCATGGGACTTTGCAGGAGTCATCTTGCCCTCTCTGTCCTGAACAGCAGAGGGGCCAAACCTGCAGTACCAGCAGACATCGACTGTTTTCTTCTGTTTTTTTGTGGTGCACATCACTAGTGAGGTGAATCTCATGAAAACATGTTTGGATCACATTTTTCCATAACATTAAAGAAATAAAAAATTATATTTTGCATAAAGACAATGAAGCATTTTAGGCACCTTGTTTTTGCATTTTTGTTCATAAATGTTATCCCTCAAATTGTCATTACTATAATAAAAAAAAAAAAAATCTAATTTCTGTAATGCAGAGTTGTTTATAATAATAATAATAATATTTTATTTAAACCGTAAAGTATTCATACTTAATGGTTGTGTTGATAAATTACTGTTGAGAATCACCATTGAGAATAATAGGATTTACAAAAAAATTGGTTTTTCTTTAAAAAAAATAAATAAATGTGACCCTGACATGTTTTGTGAGATTCATCCTGTGGTTCTTTATGGTCAGAATCAGAGAAACCTTTCTGGGAATATGTTGCTTGGATATGATTGATATTTGGAACTCGTCACAATTCCAGCTCTGTTTCTGTTTTGTTGGGATGTGAGATCATTTAGCAAATTATTTGGTTGCTTCTTTTGTTGCCTTTTTTTCCACGTGATATTTGTTTATGAAAAGTCTTAGATTTAATAAATATTAACTTTTGTCTTTATAAGACTGTCTTTGGTTTTCTCTCCGTCTTCTGACTCTTTTATACGGACACATGCCCTGTGTGTGTGTGTGTTTATGATGTTGCTAAGCAGCAGCTGTTAGAGATGGCACTTTGGGCTGCTCCACCTTTGATCCACACATCACATCAGACAACTGCTCTTCCTTTCATCCCTCCATCTCTCCCTCTGCTCTCATCCCATAGTTTCATTTCGCCTCGCTCTATTCTCTGTCCTCTGATCTGGGGCTGTGGAAATATGCACACCGTGGGTCACGGGCGACGGACACACCGAACCAAACCAAACTGACACACTGTCATCTCGTGCTGTGGAAGTAGAGTCAGGTGATGGTGTTAAGAATAAATGTGTATGACACATTAAAATAATATATATATAATACAACAAAATGAAACAAGTTGACTCTGTTTTAAGAATTTTCCTGACATTATCATACACTTTACAATAAAGATGGTGTTTTCATTTCATTTAAGTACTTTTATCCTGTTTTTAATTTTAGTTTATATTTTACTAATTATGTGTTTTTATATTATCCATTTTCTTTGTAATTTTGGTAATTATATATATATATATATATATAATCTCATTTGTAAGTTGCTTTGGATAAAAGCATCTGCTAAATGTATATATATATATACATATATATGTCTGTATAGTGGCTTGTACACTCTTAAAAAATGCTGGGTTAAATACAACCCAGTGCAGGGTAAAATAGGGACAAACCCAGCGATTGGGTTACTACCAAGAAAGTTGGGTTAAACATTTAACCCAATTGCTGGGTTTGTCCCTATTTTACCCTGCACTGGGTTGTATTTAACCCAGCATTTTTAGAGTGTATTTATTTCAATATGTATGTGTGTGTTTTGTGCTTCATATTTGTTTTGAAAGTAAAAAAAAAAAGTTCACATTTACTATTCACATTTTCCATGAAAAGCCTATAATATCTTAAAATGTGATAATTGACCCCACATGAGTGGCCTTCTATTGGGCCAACATGTGTTAAATGACCAGTATTTTTACTCCTAGACAATAATATTCAATATGCATACAATGTATGTTTACTTTATCAACACAGTAAATGTTTAATCCACTCAACAATAACATCATTCATAAAGCTCCGTCCGTTTGTAACATGGAAAGGAACAATATGTTTTGTGTCGATATCGAGAAATCACAACTCGTCTCGGCTTCGTGAGTGTCAGTCACTCAGCACATCTGTCCGTCTTCTTCCGTCTGGCCAATGGGGTGGCGCGGTGGGCGGGCTCAGTGCGGGGGGGCGGAGTCTGTCGATGGCCACGGGAAGCGCAGCTGCATGAACGATCTCGCCGAAGCTGCATCCGTGTTTTTCAGCCGCGATCCCCCCCTGCGAGCGCCGCTCACGGAACACCCCCGCGGGGAGGCGAGAGAGAGGACTGCGGGGCCGCGGAGGTGCGGCGAAGAGCCAGGCCAGGAAAGGACGTCCGAGTCCGGTTTGATGCTGGCGGCCCGTCCGCCCTTTAAACACGGATGCTGCTGCTGCTGCTGCTGCATTCATAAGGGATCGCTGTTTATCCGAGAACCCTGGTTCAACGTCCCCCGGTTTCACATTCCAAGCCGATCGGTAGACGCCAATCAAGCGCGACAGCATCCCTCTCTACCTGCGGCTCTCCAGCGCCTGACAGGCCAGAGTCATGGGCAACACGCCGGCCGCCAAACGGGGCAACGAGATGGAAAGCGGTGGGTGTCTTTAACGCTTCCCAGTCATTCTGTTTAGTCATCATCTTCATCTTCGAGCATCCTCAGATGCTCATCGGGAATACGGTCGTGCATGTGGAGATGGTGCTGATGCTGGCATGGCGATCACAGGCTCAAACAATGTGTTGATGCTTTAATAAGAGCGAGCAGCGCTTCGTTTGAGGGTTGCACGGTTGCACCCTGTATATAACATGCCAAAGATGGTTGTTAGATTAAAAAAGGGTCTAGTTATGTACGTCTGATGGGTCTGGAGAAGGACAGATGTGTAGAAGGTCTGAAGAAAACAGCAAGAACCAAAACCTGCATGCTGAGATCTAATAGGAAGAATAAATATGTCAATTTAACAATTGAAAACAACCTTATTATTTGACCTCCTCGGTGTCGTGATGGTTAGGGCCGCGCTGGTGTCTTGAGGGCTGGGTTTTCACACCTAGAGTTGTTTAACCCAGGTTTAAGTAATCCATGTTTCACATTGCTAACATACTAACCCTGGTTTAATAATTAGGTTGTCAAGTTTTGCGATTTCATGCTTTACACGAGAAAGTCCCAGGGTTATTTTTTTTTTATATTTACAGTGTTTCATTCATTTGAAGGAGTTGCAAGCTGTTTTAATAACATTTAGGTTAAAATGACTGCAGTTAATGCTAGTCCATCACAGTTTGACTTTTGAGTCTTTCTCTTCTGGAAAACAAAGCAAAACTATTGATGCCGTCGTGCGCTCTGGAAGGATCAAATCATGGCTCACAGACGTTGTGTAAACCACTGGCTACTGGTGCTCATGTTAATAAATAAATATTAGAAAAGTCCTTCGATATATCCCACCCAACCTTCCTGTTTAAGTATGAAATGTGTCAAAACAGGAACAAAAACTGCTCACGGTCTTGAACCGTTTCCCTCAACTGCTGGCGCTTGAAAGTTTCTGTGACTGTACAAAACGTTTGCATGTTTAATGTGGCAAGATATCTTTAGATTACGATTGGTTTGTCTGTTGAGAAACCGTAAAGTATACCAGCAAAAAAATCGGTGTTAACCCCCTTTAAAAATGCATGAAACATTGCTAAACTCAAGAGTTAAAAGTGGCCTTAATGTGGGGTTTCAACTTTATTTGCATGCAAGTTACATTACACTCTAAAAAATGCTTGCTTGTTTCAACCCAACTTTTTAGTCCACATTTGAGCCAAAGTTGGGTTTAAACAACCCAGCATTTTTTAGAGTATACATACATTACATTAAAGCAATAAGTCCCAAGAACATGGTTTACAGTGAATTTATAACAGCTGAGGGGCGTTGTTAGTTAACAACGCCCCTCAGCTGTTATAAATTCACTGTAAACCACGGCTTCACGGGGCTTATTGCTTTTATAAAAGGGTTATTCCATATACGTAGTAAGGTTTCACAGAATAAAACAGAGCAAATAAAGTGTAATGATATTAATAAAAACAGTATTCTTCCACCAAACAATGTAGCTCCTCAGAAACAGTTGTGGTTCCAACAAAGTAGTTGCAGAGAAACACACAGAAGTAAACAAAGGTGTGTGTTTGTAGAGTAATTTACAACAGCTTCGGACGTGGCTCAGCCAATCAGAATCAAGCATTTCGTTTTATAATACACAAGTTACATTATCGTCACAAAATGTAACTATATTATCGCCCAGCTTAAGACAATATACTGTATATAAAAAAAAGTCTAAAAAAAGGTCTGCATATGCATTTTTTGTTGAATATCAAGTTTGACACATCAGGCTTTTATGGCTCATATAGAATATGGAGTGAAAAAAATATCAAAATTTTACTCAGAGGCCCAAACTGAGCAAAAATATGCAATTTGGTGCAGATGCTGATATTTATAGCACTAAAGGCTGGAATACACTACATGATTTTTGCCTTGATTTCCCGCCGATTTACAGTCTGGAGAAGCTGGCGCTAGCTGCAGAAAGCCAGTCAGTCTGCAGATTAGAGCTGACAGGCTTCACAGAAAATCATGTAGTGTATGATGGTCACAGACTCCGATTTTTAGCTTCAGACTTTGATTTTTGATTCATTTTGATCAAATATGTTTCATATTTCCAGCCGATTTTAGAACGCATGTTCTAAATATTTGTCACACGTCTCCTAGCAACAAGGCACTCGTGTCTGCGTGAGTTTAAAGTGACTTTCAAGTCTGGAAGTGTGTGATCCTCAGTCATTTAGTGTGTGTGATGCCCAGTTTTTCCTCTGTGATTATTACGAAGTCGGTAAGTGATGCCCAGTGTTTTCAAATCTGTTCCGATTATAAAAGTCGTGTAGTGTATTCCAGCCTTTTTAATATAAAAAGTTATATTTTTGGCAAATGTAAAAGCCCTTTCACATCAAAATCCGAAGGCTGAAGGAAATGTAAATTCACGTCCTTAAATGAGTGTCACCTGGTCATTTAAAGCAGGCTCGTGCCCTCTGAGTTTAAATCACAGCAGAATTATTGCATGGTGAGTGGTTTTCGCTGTGGCTATTTGAACAAACCCATAATATCACAGATTCTTGAATTGTGCCAGAAAAAAATCCACCATAAATACTCTAGTGATGGGATAAATGAAGCTCTTCGAAACTTTGAACCAATGTCCTCAAAGTAGGCTTTTATTATTAAGTCAGTGAAGCAGTGAATTACTCACCCAATGCTTTTAAACAGACATCTGTTTGGCGTGATTCATGTTAAACGCACAGCGCTAGGCACACAAACAATTTATATTTAATAAATATTACCTGAAAATAGGCGATTAATCAGTTTATATTCTACAATATTTGTTTAGGTGTCGTTGTGTGTAAATTAAATAACATTTGAATGTAAATGACATAAATGTAGAACAACGGGTTTATGAGATTGTCCAGGTTTGAAGTCATTGCCATCTTCATCTGACAGTTTTATTAGCTGCAGATTTCTCTGCAGTTGTTGCAATTTGTGAAAAAATTATGAATATCCATTTATGTCACACAACAGGCAAATACGTAGTATGTACCATAAGCAGTTATCTGGCAAAACGTCTTACTCAAATGAGATTGGGGAGGCATTAGTAAGTTTGATTTTATTTATTAATACGTTTACAAAATAACAATTCAAAAAATAATCATATCCATATTTACTTTTGAGTTTAAAATATCATTTATTTAAAAATACATATTTAATCAAATCGTTCAGTTGCTACACCCGCTTACTGAATTCATGTGACTTTGGCATGTTGATGTGCTCTCCGAATCACTGGTTTCGAAACAAATGAAACGTGTTTTTTTTTTTTTTCAAAAGCAAGGGTTATTATAGTTAACGAAAACTAAAGTATATTTCCGTTACTTGAAATAAATTAGATGTCAGCTGCAATAAAAATAAAACATTAAAAAACTTATTTTATTTCAGCTAGTTTCCATTGCAACATTTCTCGTTTAGTTTAACTTGATGTACTAAAATAGTTCATTCTAAAATAGTGAATACAATTCTGAAATTTACATGCAAGCAGAAACTATAAAATTCTATTCTATACATCTAATTCAAAATGTTATCAAAAACAATAATAGTACACAAATAACACTGTTTGAAAGCACCCATCGCTACTAGAAACAGGACAGCAAGCATGACAGATGTGACTGTAGTTATGTGTTTAAACAGTGGGTGTGTCCCACAGAACACAGCGAGTCTGGAGGACTTCGAGCGGCTGAAGACTCTGGGCACGGGCTCATTCGGTCGCGTGATGCTGGTCAGGCACCGAGAGAGCGGGCAGCACTACGCCATGAAGATCCTTAACAAACAGAAGGTGGGCGGGGCTAATGCCTGAGCCGTGACCTCACAGGCAGGCACGGCGAGGATGTCATGATATCCTTTCATCGTCTCTCTGTAGGTCGTGAAGCTGAAGCAGATTGAGCACACTCTCAACGAGAAGCGGATACTGCAGGCCGTCAGCTTCCCCTTCTTAGTGCGGCTGGAGTACTCCTTCAAGGTGAATTCTGCTTGAAATATCAACATCTGGAGGACGATGTGCCGCATGTAAAGGCCGTGTTTGGTAACGTGTGTTTGTTTTAGGACAACACTAATCTCTACATGGTGATGCAGTACGTTCAGGGAGGAGAGATGTTTTCACACCTGCGTAGAATCGGCAGATTCAGGTGAATATATTTACATTCCAGATGTGCTTTATTAGTGCCTGAGGGAATCCGCAGTGTGCACCGTAACATACAACATGCAGAGCACAAATACTATATATATACAGTACATGCATACAGAGCTGGGTAGATTACTTACCAATTGTAGTCCATTACTGATTCCAAATTGCATGACAAAAATTGTAGTTAGTAACATAATCCATAATCTTGTATCATATTGGTATAAAAATGCAAAGAGTGAGAACGTATATTCCATTCGTTGTTATTAATAACGTGAAGTGCATCAAACATTACATCAATGTTTCCCAAACTGGGCTTCATAAAAGAACTGCAGGGGGTTCACGAGTTTAATAAAAAAAAGCTTACAGATAAATTATTTTAAAATAACATCAGTCAAAATAAAGCACTTTCTAAAAAAATGAAATAGGCTCTCTCTCTCTGTTTTATATATATATATATATGTATACCTTAAATTTGAAACATGCTAAAAATTATTTGCTTCATTTGCTTGACATTACTAAGTAATTAATTACTGTCATTTAATTTTCCCTTAAAAAATTAAGTAAGGGATTACTCTTAATTTTTCTGTAATTTATTTTAAATAAGTAAAAAATATGGAATTTTTTGATGTGTAGACTGTGACCCAGTACTGATGAAAGAATAGAAACATAGGAAATATAGGAATGATGTTGTGATGAAAATATATTATTTAAATGAAAACTATAATCTAGATTCTGTCTCCGCTAACTTGCTTTATATATATATATATAATGCGACGCAGGGATGGTGGGATTGCATGTTTATGTTTTTATGTTTGTAATTAATAAAAAAAAAAAAAATATATATATATATATATATATATATATATATATATATATTATATAATAAAAGAGTTCACATGTATGATGGGCACGCTTTTCCTTCACTGTCTGGTTCAATTCATTCATCAAATATCACCATTTTTCAGGCAGAAGCCTTTAAATCAATTTTAATATCCATAAGCATAAAGTCAGTCAAATGTGTGAACTTCTGGCTTGTAATTACAAAAGACTTAATGATTAGTATGAAAACGGTATATATACTTAATTTGTTTGTGCCACAGATTAAATCTTATTGCATGTGTGTGAATGTGTGTGTGTGGCAAAAAAAAAAAAAACAGTAGATGTAGTTTAGCTTATATGTATTTTTTTATTCCACATAAGAAGTGGACATAGAAATGAGACGTAATAATAACAGGTCATCCCAGCAGTCTGCATATTTGTGCTTGTATTCTTTGGCTCAGTTTGGTCTGGCTAAATACACAGGATACAAAACAAGCGCTGGGTTTAGAGAAGCAGCAGTGAAATCCAAAGCTATCTGTGTGCTAATGCACATAATGTGAGACTGTGGTTTCATCTCGCTTGTGTAAAGACGCTCGATGCTTGATATGTATTTGTTGCTGTACTAAAATGAACCACTTAGCAGCATCGACATGTACAGTTGCATTTAAAAATGCATGAATGTTGTTTCATTAGATAACAACAAAATATCAAAGCTGCTGGAGTTTTTCAAATTTTAGTTTTCTTTAAACCTCACAAGCTTCTTTTTGATAAATACTGAAAAGCATGTTTGTGCTGTTTCTATGCACATTCGCATGAATCTCTTTTATTATTTCAGCCCTACTGGAATAGCTAAAGTGCTGTTGTTTTCAACAACTTTCTTGGAACTCTATCTTTTCTCTTTCTTTCTCTCTTGCCGTCTTTCTCTAATGTAGTGAACCCCATGCGCGGTTTTATGCTTCACAAATAGTCTTGACGTTTGAGTATCTGCATGCCCTCGACCTGATCTACAGAGACCTTAAACCAGAGAACCTCCTCATCGATCAGCAGGGCTATATACAGGTAATCAACACATGCACCGACTGCAGAAGACTAACGTTCACATTAAAGATACACAAATACATAGTGCTTAGTGAATGAACAGTCTGGAATAGAAAAAACACTCATTATTAAATGCACTTAAATTTCTGATTTAGCATTAATAGCAATAGTAACGCGAAAGTAACATAACGCATTACTTTCCATAAAAAGTAACTAAGTAATGTAATGTTACTTTTTTATGGCGTAACGCAATATTGTAATGCATTACTTTTAAAAGTAACTTTCCCCAACACTGCTTAACAATCTGTACAATACTTTATGATCCATGTCAAGGGTAAATTACACACAAAAGATGACAAATGTTGTGTTAGATGAACAGAATCCTATCAAACCTAATTTAATATGATATCATATTAAGTTATTGTGTTAAAAAATAATATAAAGGCCTTTGGACTTTCAATCTTGAATTTCCGTATTAGCATCAATCAGCATGATTAATAACATAATTAGCAACATTTGAACTTCGGTTGTGACCTACTTTACATTAGTAACATCAGTATGTATTTTAAACAGATAGTTTTGCATCTTTCTCTGTAATATAATGCAATTTGGAAATATTTTACAATCATGTTTGAGGCTAAATCAAGCACAAATGATGACAAATGTTGTGTTAGATAAACAGAAACATATCGTAACTTCATAATATCATTTCAAATGTTATAATTAGTGCTGTCAAACGATTAATCGCATCCAAAATAAAAGTTTTTGTTTACACAATATATGTGTGTGTACTGTGTATATTTAGTATGTATATATAAATAGACACACATGCATGTATATATTTAAGAACAATATGTTATATTTGTATATTAAATATATATATATATATATATTATATAAATATATACATGTAAATATTTTCAGAATATATACTGTATGAGTGTGTATTTGAGCACAAAAGCAGTGTTAAGTCGCTGGGGTATATTTGTAGCAATAGCCAAAAATACATTGTGTGGGTCAAAATTATAGATTTTTTTTTTTTAGAGTTATAGATTTTTCTCGGCCAAATATTGTCCTATCCTAACAAACCATACATCAATGGAAAGCTTATTTATTCAGCTTTCAGATGATGTATAAATCTCAATTTCTAAAAATTGACACTTAAGACTGGTTTTGTGCTCCAGGGTCACATATACATAATAAATATACACAATAAATATACACAATACACACACACACATATATATTAAGTAAACAAAAACTTTTATTTTGGATGCAATTAATCACGATTAATCGTTTGACAGCACTAGTCATATTATTTAGCTATTATGTGAAAATATAATAAAGAACTTTTGAATTCCACTCTTAGATGAGCATTAATTAGCATCCAGTCTTAAATTAGCATTGATAGCTAATTAAGTAACATGACAATTAGTAACATTTGAACTTCTATTTTAACTTTTTAAAAGCAAATATCAGCATTTGTGATGTGCTTTACATTACTAAACAAATATTTTACTTAATATAGTGCAATTTGGAGAATATCGGTCAATCGTGTCGAGGGTAAATCAAGCACAAATGATGACAAATGTTGTGTTCGATGAACAGAAACATGTCAAATTCAGTGTGACTTTGCTGTAACTCGAAAAAACTAATCTGCGCCACATTCAAGGGGTAAAACAAAACACTGATATGGGCCCCATTCATTTGCAGTGGAAATGTTGCTAAAAGTGTGTCTGTGATGTAAGCAGCTCCGTGGATGTGCTTTCTCATAATCTCACCATTACTGCCCCCTCATGGCTAATATGATAGGGGCATCATGAAATGTTTCTGGCTGGACGCATGCATGCACTGTGCGTATGTCACAGCGTCCTCCTTTGTTTCAGGTGACAGACTTTGGTTTCGCGAAGCGGGTCAAGGGTCGCACGTGGACATTGTGCGGCACCCCGGAGTATCTGGCCCCAGAGATCATCCTCAGCAAGGTGAGCCATGATGCTGTTTCTCTGAGGAGACTACAATGAATGCAGCTGAACGACAGCAGACCCAGTGTAATTAATGAAGCGTCTGCACCGCAAGAGCCTGGTGATGCAGCTCGCGCTCAGCTGACAGATGCTTTTTTGCGCTGTACAGCTACTCTGAGCACTTTATTTGACTGAAACAACACAATTTAATATTCAAATATTATATATAGACTAATAGGCGGAAGTTCGGAATATTAAGATTTTAAAATGTTTTTGAAAGAAGTCTCTTCTGCTCACCAAGGCTGCATTTATTTGTTAAGAAATACTGTAAAAACAGTAGTATTGTGAAATATTATTACAATTTACAATAATGTGTGAATGTACTGTAAAATGTAATTTATTTCTGTGGTCAAATCTGAATTTTCAGCATCATTACTCCAGTCTTCAGCGTCACATGATCTTCAGAAATCACTCTAATATTCCGATTTGCTGCATTTCTGATTATTATCAGTGTTAAAAAACTGTTTTAGATTTCTGTGGAAACTGATACATTTTGTTTTTCAGGATTCTTTGATGAATAGAACGTTAAAAGAACAGCAGTTATCTCAAATAGAAGTCTTTCTTGATGTGATAAATGTCTATACTGTCACTTTGATAAATTTAAGGCATCCTTGCTGAATAAAAGTGTTTTCTTTTTCTAAATCTCACTTACACCAGACTTTTGAATGGTGGTCTTCCACGGTTTCCATAAAAATATGAAGCAGCACAACTGTTTTCAACATTGATAATAACAGTTTAACATATATTCACACAGAAAACAGCTGTTTTCATTTGTAGCAGTATTACTGTTTTTACCGTATTTGTAAACAAAGAAACGCAGCCTTGGTGAGCAGAAGATACAGAAAAAGCAATCTGTTATGTATTTCAGTAACTTGTATCACACTTTGAGGTTTCTGATCTCTCGCCTACTAGTTTAAATCTTGTTTCTTGACATAAATATGTGCAGTGGTAGCTCCACTAACATTCACTGCATTTGTGAAACATGCAAAGTTTGTGAGCGTTTAATATCTCTTTCTCTTAGGGTTATAATAAGGCTGTGGACTGGTGGGCTCTGGGTGTGCTGATGTACGAGATGGCTGCCGGTTATCCTCCGTTTTTTGCCGATCAACCCATTCAGATCTACGAAAAGATTGTCTCAGGAAAGGTAATTTTGCCAGGGAATAACGAAACTGTAGAGCTTAGATTGAAAGTGAATCAGATATCTCTGCAATATCTGAGATTCTTGTCTTCAGCCCACCCCAGTTTACTCGTGTTTGGTTCAGTACTGCGTTAAGACAGCTCGTTCGAACACGCCCCCACATATCTACCTCACTATGTGGGAAGATTTGCATAACGCCGTCCAAATGCGGCTCTCTAGGACCAAACTTGCCTACCCCTGAGTTAGGCTCAATCATGGTCTTAACTAGGGTTGGGTATCGTTTGAATTTGATCAATTCTGATTCTGCTTATCGATTCTGATTCTTTTCAATTCCTAGTTTCGATTCCAACGTGATTTATCCAATCATTTATCCAGTGTCTCTTTTTTGCAAACCATTTATTGGAGCTGAATACCACGAACAAAAATCAACAGGCTACATAAAAACTGGACTCTTTAAGAGCTGTTTGTGTGCAAAATAAATTGATAAATTTAAGTTTTTTGTTTTTTTCCCCAAAGGAAGTTGTGGTTCTCTCATGATTCTGAAGAAAAAACATTAGACAATTAAACCAAATCACATGTAATTTATGAATGAATGATTAAATGACTCGTAAGTTTCATTACTGGATGAATCAGCGTTCTTGAACGAACCTTTTGTATGATTTAAAGACAAATACATTTTAACAGCTCCTTTTCGCCACCTACTGGCGTAACAATGTAATCGATAAATATTCATTTGAAGTGTCAAATTACTTTCAAAAGGATATTTACTCTATTTTAATCACTACCATACACATCGTACACACAGTTTATATCTGAACTATAAACTTTTATCCCAGTACTTCTGTGATCTGAATGTTTGTAACACAGAAATAATGATACTGTGTGGCTGAAAAGCTGCTTCATTCATGACAGAGAGCTGCTCTCTTTAGGTCAATGGCAGTGCGAACACAAATTTAAATGTTCAAATCACACTGGTGTGATCGTACGCTGCACGGATGAACCAAGTGATCACAACATTGATCGCACACCTCAAAGGTTGAGGAATGAAACAGACTAATCATTGTCATTTAGGAATAGAATCACGTTGGTGTTTGAATCGTGTTCGCGATCTTTAACACGATCTTTTAATCTATTAAATTAAAGTGCTTGTCATGTTGGTGGTGACACCTCTCTTGCAACATGTTTAGTTATCACAGATATTATACTTAGCTTTTTTTGGCTTCTGATCGCAAATGTAGCCAAACTTTGGAGCGCTGAGATTAGCGAGCAAGGTCCTGGCAGATCGCTAGGTCCGGTCCTCACCGATGAAGAAAAAAAAAAAAGCGAATCGGACTCGAGTGACGGAATTGAAATTTTAATTTGACAACAAGTATCCGATTCCTGACCTTAAAGGCAGAGTACGTGATTTCTGGTAGCCAATGTTGATATTTGAAATCACCAAAACAAACACGCCCCTACCCCAAAAGGGTCTTGCCCCTATTTTGATAGCTCCGCCCCACATATACGTACACAACCCAGGCAACGATTAGTTCTGTGAAACAAAGCAAAACCAGTGTTACACCGTGTCTACGGACGTGAACGGCGCGGCGCAACAAATCCCCGACAGAAAACTGCTGCCGGGTTCTATTTATGACGTGCTGACACAAATTTCAAATGGTTTTCAACAGTCGTTTGATCGCGTCCAGTGTAGACAGACTTTAGCTGTTGTAGACACGGTGTTACTCACCTATTGAGAAGAAACAAAGCAACCTCGGCATCCGATCGCAGGCCTCCGCTCCTTGAGTTCTCTCCAGCGCTGGAAAGCTGATCCGATATTTACACGGGTCCTACTTCTTGCCTTATCGTTCGGCAGACGGTTTCCTCTTTTGTTTTTTATCTGCCATCTCTATCTTTCTGTCGCTCGGCTCGGCTAATGTCTGTCCCATGCAACGAAAACTCTCTCCTCCACATCACGAGATGAGTAGACACGCCCCTTATTGCTGATTGGCTACAAGTTTGTTTTGCTATTCGGCCTTAATCAGTTTTCTAAAGTGTTTTTGAAAAATCACATACCCTGCCTTTAAGTGTCTGATTCTGGAATCTGAATCAATTTTCGATTCCCAACCCTCGTCTAAACCACGGTCTTTTCACAGGTACGGTTCCCGTCACACTTCAGCTCCGACCTGAAGGACCTGTTGAGAAACCTGCTGCAGGTGGACCTCACCAAACGCTACGGCAACCTTAAAAACGGAGTTAACGACATCAAAGGTCACAAGTGGTTCTCAACTACTGACTGGATAGCCATTTACCAGCGGAGGGTGAGAGTCGCTTTCATCACTGATAGAGATCTGATGCATTCATTGCTTCCGCTCCCAAAGCTCAATCAGCAAGACTTGTATCTCATATGTGACCCTGGACCACAAAACCAGTCATAAGGGTCAATTTTTCAAAATTGAGATTTATACTTCACCTGAAAGCTGAATAAATAAGCTTTCCATTGGTGTATGGTTTGTTAGGATAGGACAATATTTGAAAATCTGGAATCTGAGGGTGCAAAAAAATCTAAATATTGAGAAAATCGCCTTTAAAGTTGTCCAAATGAAGTTCTTAGCAATGCATATTACTAATCAAAAATTAAGTTTTGATATATTTACGGTAGGAAATTTACAAAATATCTTCATGGAACATGATATTAATATCCTAATGATTTTTGGCATAAAAGAAAAATCAATAATTTTGACCCATACAATGTATTGTTGGCTATTGCTACAAATATACCCCAGCGACTTAAGACTCCAAGGTCACATGTTATACTGGATGTCATTTAGTTTTACCACTAGCAGTGTTGGGGGGTAAAGCAAGTTATGTAATCGGATTACTTTTTTTGAGTAACTAGTAATGTAACGCATTACTTTTAAATTTACAAGACAATACCTGACTTAATTTTTCACAGAAGTAACACCAGCTACTTTGTTTTCTTGTTCATTCACGACACTCTCCTTGTGTTTAGAGAAAGGCAGAGGCACTTCCTTCAGCCTGAGACTTATTCATTTCACTTTTGGTGTGAAAGGGCCTTTACAGTAGCCAAAAATGTAACTTTTGTTTTTTTTTTGTTATTAAAAATAAACAAGCATCCCAGCTCAGGTGTCAAAAAGTAACACGATGCATTACTTTCCATAAAAGTAACAAAGTAACCATTTAGTTACTTATATTGTAATGCATTACTTTTAAAAGTAACTTTCCCCAACACTGATCACTACACTGTAAAAAATACAGTAACTTACTGGCAATTTTGGTTGCCAGTAAGATTGTAAATTTACAAAAGTACTGTAAATCAATAATTACAATTGTACTGTAAAAATACAGTAGAAGCGTTTATAAATATGAGTGAAATTACAAGAGCAACTGTGAACTTGCAATGATATACATACATTTTACAGTAAATTAGTACATTTGTTGTGAAATTCAATTCACTAAATTGAGATATAGTATTATTAAACCAAATGATATGATCATTTGTCATACTTTAAAAAAATCATAATTGGCTGAGTATCAATAAGAATAAGAGTATGATTTAAAGCAAATATCAAAATTTGTGACCTGCATTACATTAATATACATCAGTATCTATTTGAAACCATTTTTGTTTTCTTTATTAATCAGCGTAGAGCAATTTGGAAAATATTTGATGGGTAAATCAAGCCTAAATTATGACAAATGTTAAGTTAGATGAACAGAAATATGTCAAATTCATTGTAACGTCAATATTGTTTGAAATTAATATCATGGACTTACAGTCTTATAGTTCTGATATAGTATTAATAGCTAATTAATTAGCATGCTTAATAACATAATTAGTAACATTTGGACTTCTGTCCTGAATTTTGAAAGCAAATATGAACTTTTGTGATCTATACTTCACATTAATATACATCTGTATCTATTTTAAAGATATTTTTGCACCTTTCTCTGTATAAGGCAATTAGGAAAATATTTTCAGATCCATGTAAGTCAAGCACAAATTATGACAAAGATGAACGTCAGATTCACAAATCTGCGACACGCACAAGGGACTTGTCATTCTTAAAAAAATGCAAAGAACAAAGAAATGAAATATTGATATTGGCGAGTACTCAAAAACGAAAAAAAGAGCATTTCATCCATATGTCATACTCGAATGTAAACTATGAAGCAGAAAAACACAACAACATGAACTATGTAATGCAATAATATTAATATTATCTCATTTCTTCGGTGTGTTTTTTGCAGGTGGAGGCCCCGTTTGTGCCTAAATGCAGAGGTCCCGGGGACACCAGCAACTTCGACGACTACGAGGAAGAAGAGATCCGTGTGTCGTTCACGGAGAAGTGCGCGAAAGAATTTGCCGAGTTCTAGGGGAATAAGTGATAGAAATCAGAGAGAGAGAGAGAGAGAGGAATAAAGAGAAAGAGAGAGAGAAGGAGAAAAAGTGCATGAATCTTAAAACCGATCCTTCCTCCTGTTAAACAGCAGAGAAGCCAGCGGAAGAGAGCAGAGAAGACCTCCAGGGATAAACAGTGAGGCCTTTATCATCTCCTGTTTTAATCATGTTTGTAATTTTTTTTTAATCTCAGTTCATGTGATATTAATCACGATGGATTTGATTGGGTGTAATTGTTGGCCTGTGGACTGGGATTGTTTTTGCCGCACAAACACAGGGTTAGTTATCGTCTATTCAGAGATTATCTCTAATCTGGAGCAGTTACCGCTAAAGTGCAAGTTCTCCACTAGGTCACCATAACAACCATATAGAAAAAAACATTTAAAAAAAATATTCCTGTGTAATAACCGAAATATTTTTGGTCCTGTCATGTGTTTCTTTATTCTTAAAAAGGGATGACAAAGTGACAAAGGCATAGAAACGAAGCCATGATTTCATCAAATGAGCACCTTTTTTTTCTTCCTCTTTCAGCTGTAGGTCCACTGCGCTCTGTAAAATATTCACTGATGAACTTTGAACTTTCACCTATGAGATGTGCCATGAAATCCTACAGGTGTCAATATTTTGACTCGTCAGTTGTGTCATTGATTATAGCTGACAGATAGTAAGGGCCCCAAAGGCTGCGATGACGGGGCCGACAGCCTTCGTGCAGAGGAGGGGATGAATGTTTTTGTTTCGTATTGTTAATACTATAATTGTTACAGTTCTCATTGGGTTATACATTTATAAAAACCTGACGAAATCGCACACGTTCTGTGCGTGATTCACGCGGCGAAGCCTTGCGGTCGACGCTCTCTTCACCATTTCTTCCCCCTTTATTCTTCCATTTCTGCGTTTTTAAATAGGCAAAGTCTTCTCTCTGAATGGGTGCAGTGCATCTGGCTCCTTTTTGGGTGAGAATTTCTTACACGCAACTCTCTAGGCTACAGATATCTCCTAAGCTGGAGGTGAACTCAGTGGATACCAGTGCTTACTCCTGAGGACATGGTTCAAGTTAATTGTGATATTTTGCACCACAAGAATCATTCCAATAAAGTATTACTATAAATACCAAACAGGTTTTACGTCCCTTTATGTGTGATAGTGGAAACTCCTAACATTGTGCTGAGGTCTTATTTGGCACGGTATCGTACCGTACGAGTCCTGAACTGTGCATTGTAGGATCGGGCACCATTAATGAAGACAGAGGGGAGGACTATTTCACACCTGGAACCTCCAAAACAAGTTAAGTGTGCCATGAGAGTGTTTGCATTGTGGTGGTGTAAGATAGCTTTGTATTTCTTAACCGTTACACGACAGTGCAGAGTTATTTATCATTAAATAACTCCTGTTTGATGCCTGGTAGCTGATGATGTTGGTGGAAGTTAATAGGCTTTCTCCAACTGTATACCTGTATGAATTTTGGAAATACAATGGAAAATAATTCTTCGAATCATGTCACTTTGTTCCTATATATGCCATGGCTTCCATTTTTTGTGCTTGTAATTAATGCACTGCAAATTTTAGGCCAGTTTTATAGCTGACACATTTAGGCACTTTGATTAAACCTTTTTGATCTTTACTATTCTTGCCAATGTAACTAGTATTATTTTTTTCTTTTTGTTTCAATTTATTTGTGAGGACTTATTAAATAAGACTAGACTCATCGACCATTCTGTCACCTAACCATTAAACACAGATGCGTTTCGAAATGTTATTTAGATTAATATGGAGAACGCCTATGGAAAATCTGCTGCATTAGATGTGATGGACTGCGGCGCGAGCGTGAACAAAAGCGCAAAACGTGGAACTCCGCAATACCACCTTAATAAATAAGCGCAGAGCGCAGCGGATGGTTCTCTTCGGAAAGTAGTCCACCTTAAGCGCACATAGTGGGTGAACGCAGGCGTAGAGCGAGGCTTCCGCTTCATTCCCAGCCGGGCTCGGAGCGGATCACTTCGGAGACGAGAGAGAGGCGCTCGGCCGAAGCCAACGGAACCAGTGCTGAAACATGTCGGAGCCGAAATACCGAGAATGGATCCTGGAAACCATCGACTCCCTGCGCTCGAGAAAAGCCCGACCGGACCTGGAAAGAATCTGCCGAATGGTCCGAAGAAGACACGGGTCAGACCCGGACAAAACCAGGGCTGAACTAGAAAAACTGATCCAAGAGCAAACTGTGCTGAAAGTTAGCTACAAAGGGTCCATTTCGTACAGGAACGCTGCTAAAGTGCAAAGGAAATGCAGAAAGAAAACGGAGCAAACCACCGGCAGCGGCGAGTCGCTCGGTGAACACGACAAACACAGTTTCAGTAACAACGGCGACAGCGCGCTCAGCCTCACGGACCAAGAAGAGTGCGAGGATAAGGAGCCCGAGGACCCCGGGGTGAGTCCGTGTCCTGGCCCCCTGCCTCAAACCTCGCCCTCCACTCTCGAAAAGGAAGACAAGATGCTACCCCTGCCTAGCGGAAACAGTTTTATTAGTTGTGGCGCAACGGGCCACTCCGCCGGGAGCGTGAAAGCAAGTGCATCGAGAGACAAGAGATCAGTCGCCGAGGCGGGGGCAAGCGGGTCCTCTGCCCACCGCGATGCTTCAAGCGCGAGCGGACCCGAAGGAGACAAGCCGCTCGCCGCTGGCCACGAGGGCAGAGATGAGGATGAGGATGATGAGAAAGAAGAGAAAACTTGCTCGAGCGTCAGCAGTCCGCCTCCGAGAAACAAGCTCCCCGCGTCGCCCAAACCCAAACTCAAGGTGGGGGCAAAGGGCGCCGGGGCGCGCTGCTCGGAGTCTCCGGACGAGAACTGCGCTGATCTGGGCGATAGACTGGTTGCCGCGGTCCGAAGTCTGTCCGAGAGACACCGGGGCTCCGCCGCAACACGGAGCCACGCGCCGCCGGGACCGAAAGAGATCCTCGGCTTCCTCAGCACGCAGCGAGGGATGCCCGGGGAGAAGCTGACCCGCAACCGCGTTAAAGTGGTGCTGGAGCGCGAGATCGAGAGGGGTCGTCTCCGCAGGACCCGCCTGGGCCACATCACCCTTCCCGCGAGGGGGATGGGGGCGGCCAAGCCGTCCGCGCGGCTCCTGAAGAGCGCACTGCAGGACAGACATCTCGCGAAAAAGGTAACTTAATATTTCCAACACGTCCTGCGCAGCGCGCAGCATTGCACGCCGTCTTCGTATAAATAAATGATCGTGCTTTGAGAAAAGCGAAAGAAAGGAAAGCGCATCCGCGCACCGTCTGATTTCCGCTCTTTTCTCATGCGCAAGTGTGCGCCAGAACAACCAAACTGAGTGCGTGTCTGAGGCAAACGCGGGTTTTGTGCTTGTTGAGGTCGTGTTGTGTGCAAACGGTGAGGGAACCGACACCTCAGTTGTGTTTTCCGCTCGACACGCAACTGTCTGCGTGCCCTGTTTCACTTCAGCGTCTCAGCACAAAAGGTGCGCACTCGCGCTCGGCAGCGCCCGCCTGCCTGCTTCATGCGTGCGTGCGAGCGAGCGAGCGAGACACCGTCGCTTCTCTTGTTCCGTCGCTCTAATAGACACTCATCACACAAAAGCGCGCTGGTCGAGAATCAGACTGCTGCTGAAACACTGATGTCTGCGTGAGCTGCGCGACATCGTTATTAGGATGCGTTATAAGTTGTGCTGGATATTTTTCACTAGGCGGTGTCTGTTAAGTTAGACGCGCACGGAAAATGTAAAAGGAAGGGAGGGGGGGACCCGAGGCTCGCGTCTGTTTTCTCGGGCGAGCCGTCGCTCTGCAATACTTCAGTCATACGAGGTACAAGCAGTCGCGATGGCGGAAATTCGCTGCATGGCGAGCCATTAAAGTGCGGCTCATCCGTCGTCGTGTTTCGTTCCCTCTTTTCATATCAGATTTCTCAAGCACTGTCCCGCTCACTTACAGACCAAATTGATTATGAGCCCCACTGAGTTAGTGCATGGTCAAGTCGTTGTTATCTAATCAAAACCACTAGCATGAGAATCTGTAGCGGATGTTTGGGGGGTTTCTGATGTGGTTGTTCAAAGGAAAAACTGCTAATTCGTTTAGTCGCAGTCCTGCAGACGATGGAGGTCGCGCACAAAAAAACCCCGCTATTTGGCCTTTTCCCGTCGAGGGGGCGTCGAGTCAGTCGTTTCTCTCTCTCTATTTCTTTCCTGTACATTTGCAGCTAATGTGATGTAAGGTACAGTCACCGTCAGAGTCAGAGATCTCTCAAATAAAGTGTCTCTATTCCTGCTTGTCAGGAGGAGGTGAAGGAGGAGGAAAGGATGGAGGTGGAGAGTGAGGAGTGTGGCCCGGAGGAAAACATAGCGGGCCCAGCGGAGGATTCTCCCCAGACCGTCACTGATGGAGGTCCCGCAGGTGTCAAAGCTTGCACTGACCCGGCCTCACCTGCCACGGAGGTGGAGACCGACTCCCTGAGGTCTGAGGGGAAGTCCCAGTCATCTTCAGCGCTGGAGACCTCAAACCAGAGCTCCTTACAGCAGGAAGTAGATGTGGGAGGAAGTGAAGGTACTTGCCCTGTCTCTGTTTCATGATAGAAACATTTCCTTCAGTATTTGTATCTGTTTTTTTAAACATCTAAGCATGCTTAACTTAAGATAAACTGCTTAGAATAAGATGGAGAATAGATATTAAATTACATTTTTAGTCACATGGACAATTAGTCGGTTTCTTGTTTTAAGCATTAAAATTGCAAAGTATAAATAAACTTGTGTAAAATATTCTCTGAAAACAAATATCTTAATATACATTACTGTTTTGAGGATTGTTTTATGTTTAGATTTTTGTTCTGGAAAACAAGACCAAAATACTTCTTAAAATTATATATATACAGTATATATATATACAGTGAGTTCAGTACATCAGGAGATTCTTTTCATGGAGCAAATTAAATTTATTAGTTACTAAAAACGTTCCAGAACAGTTTGGATGGTTTTTCAGAAACACTAGTTAGTTTTAAGCAATGCAAGAATAGAATGAAATAAAATTCTGAAATATCGCCATCATCTCAATTAAAAACGATCATCATTTAATGAAACTTGAAGAACAGTACAAGAATTCATGACCGCGATGATTTTTAATGTTACACACAAATCTATGCTTTCATACGCTCTCTACACTACGGCTAATAATCACTCATTCAGTGTTTAAGGATTGGCTCCCTTTCAATTCTTGAGTTCGAATTTGAATCAAATTGGCCACACCTCACAGGAAGTTAAATCTGAGGGACAGGAAGTGGAATTTATTGACTCGCAGCCCTGCTCAGAATAAAGTGTTGACCTAATACAGCCCTTATTAAAGATAATATTTTTATCAATTCTAAAATGGACCGGCTTTTAGTAAATTCAGGCAATGCTTTATCCAGAGGAGGACGTCCTTCTGGATTATGGAGTAGAACTCTAAAATTGGCAGCCGTACCTGTGAGCAAGTCAAAGCTATGGAGGATGAAAGAATCATTATGAAGACTTTGTCCAGAAGGTGCACGGATCTAAGGGTTTGCTCACATTGCACATAAAGCAGATTAGTTTTTCATGTTTGTCTGTCATTTTGCACGTGATGATAACAGATCCGTTTGTTTGGACAGTCAATATCTGCTGGGTCTACATCTGTAATCACTTGAAAGTCAACATGATGCCAAGAGTTTCAGTCTGAATTCCAAACAGTTAGTAAAAATCAGATTTTCTGAACAAAGCCAAGGTGTTTAGAATATGACTTTACCCAGATGGCATTACAGCTGAAGAATCTGAATTGTTTCTAGCTGAAGCAAAGGTGTTCGCCATCATCTCAATTAAAAACGATCATCATTTAATGAAACTTGAAGAACAGTACAAGAATTCATGACCGCGATGATTTTTAATGTTACACACAAATCTATGCTTTCATACGCTCTCTACACTACGGCTAATAATCACTCATTCAGTGTTTAAGGATTGGCTCCCTTTCAATTCTTGAGTTCGAATTTGAATCAAATTGGCCACACCTCACAGGAAGTTAAATCTGAGGGACAGGAAGTGGAATTTATTGACTCGCAGCCCTGCTCAGAATAAAGTGTTGACCTAATACAGCCCTTATTAAAGATAATATTTTTATCAATTCTAAAATGGACCGGCTTTTAGTAAATTCAGGCAATGCTTTATCCAGAGGAGGATGTCCTTCTGGATTATGGAGTAGAACTCTAAAATTGGCAGCCGTACCTGTGAGCAAGTCAAAGCTATGGAGGATGAAAGAATCATTATGAAGACTTTGTCCAGAAGGTGCACGGATCTAAGGGTTTGCTCACATTGCACATAAAGCAGATTTGTTTTTCATGTTTGTCTGTCATTTTGCACGTGATGATAACAGATCCGTTTGTTTGGACAGTCAATATCTGCTGGGTCTACATCTGTAATCACTTGAAAGTCAACATGATGCCAAGAGTTTCAGTCTGAATTCCAAACAGTTAGTAAAAATCTGATTTTCTGAACAAAGCCAAGGTGTTTAGAATATGACTTTACCCAGATGGCATTACAGCTGAAGAATCTGAATTGTTTCTAGCTGAAGCAAAGGTGCTCATGTGGAAGGTATCTGAAGGGAGTAGGTGGATGCGAGCGCAGGGTATCCACAGGTGCAGCATCAAGCGGGACTAGAGGTCTCAAGTTCTGTTTTTGCTTTTTTATGGAATATGTTTGTTTGCTTTATGAGGTAGCCAAGGGAAAAAAAATGTCCCACAGCTTATTGTGCCATGATTAAAATAGAGTTCTTAAATGTATTAGTAAAAATCAGATTTTCTGAACAAAGCCAAGGTGTTTAGAATATGACTTTACCCAGATGGCATTACAGCTGAAGAATCTGAATTGTTTCTAGCTGAAGCAAAGGTGTTCATGTGGAAGGTATCTGAAGGGAGTAGGTGGATGCGAGCGCAGGGTATCCACAGGTGCAGCATCAAGCGGGACTAGAGGTCTCAAGTTCTGTTTTTGCTTTTTTATGGAATATGTTTGTTTGCTTTATGAGGTAGCCAAGGGAAAAAAAAATGTCCCACAGCTTATTGTGCCATGATTAAAATAGAGTTCTTAAATGTATGTAACAAAACTGCTATTCCAAGTGCTGGAATTGAGTGCTCGAGTGTGTGATGCTGGATTTGTGCTGAAGGAATGTGTGTGAATACAGACATGGACTCCCTGCAGATGTGCCACAACTGTCTGTGCTTGAAATCTTAAGAAATTATAGTATTAATACCTCTTTCTCTCTCTCTCACACCCACACACACACACACACACACGCACACACACACACACACACTTTCAGAGCAGACAACGTCAGTCGAGCCTGAGGATGCTGGTGCTGAGAAAAATGCAGATGCGCCTGATCAGCTACATCCCAGCACTGAGGTAATGACAGGCAGTGCAAAGTTTACTTAAAACCTTAAGGTGTTAATATCTGAGGTCTTTCTCCTATCCCAGTTGAATGTGCATTTTATAAATCTATATTTGCTGCCATTGGTATCAGAGATTATATGCTTCCCATTTGAAATCTTTCATTCTGCTGTCTGTCATTTCCCCGCATCCTAGTCTTACCGAGAGCATCTCTTTTTATATTTCTCGCTCTTTCTCCTTTAGGATCAGGTGACTGTGATGTCAGAGACTGTAAAGGCTTCAGTACCTATAAGAAACTGTAAGTTCTTAGAACAAATGTTGGTTACTTTCTGAATAAGTGTGTTCATATCTGTCTCTTGTGTATGTGTTAATGTACAGTATGTATCTATGTGCCAGTTAATGTTTTAACTCTGTGTCTGTTGCTCTGCATGTTTGTGTGTTCATTTATATTGCTGTGTGTTACTATTCTGTTGTTATTCTGTCTTTCATGTAGTTATTTTGTATGTATTTGTTTTATATATACATATTTATGTTTTATTTGATGTACATTTGCTTTTTATGCTCTACCGTTCAGTAAGATTTGTTTGAAAGAAATCAATATTTTATTCAGCATAAATAAATGCTGTTCTTTTGAACTTTCTGTTCATCAAAGAATTCTGAAAAAAAGTATCACTTTTTCACAAAAAATATTGGGCAGCACAACTGTTTTCAGCATTGATAATAATCAGAAGTGTTTCTTGAGCAGCAAATCAGCATATTATACTGATTTCTGAAGATCATGTGACACTGAAGACTGGAGGAATGATGCTGAAAATACAGCTGCGCATCACAGAAATAAATTACATTTTAAAGAATTTTAGTTTTTTTATTAAGAGACTTTAAAAAAGTCCCAACCGACCCAAAAATGTTGAAAGGTAGTGCTGTGTTATCATTCTGTGTTATATATATATATATATACACACATATACAGTATATAGTTGTTAGTGTTGAGTTGTTGTTGTACTGTTCTATTTTAATACAATTGTGATTCAGATTCATACATTTGTTTATATAGTACTTTATATAGTTGTGTCATTCTGTGTTATTGTATTGTAGTTGTGTTTTTTTATATGTGTGTGTGTGTGTATTTGTGTTTTATATAGCTGTGTGTTGTCTATCAGGTTCAGGCTGTAAGCTGGAAGTGGGAGTGTCGTCATGTCTGCTGACCCCCTCTGCCTCACCAGGAGCGGCTGAAGAGCGAGGGATGAATGAAGCAATGTGAGTAACACACAAACAACACAGCAGACTGAGATAGAGAGAGAGAGAGGGTAGAGCAGAGAGAAAAGGCTTTGGTTGGGGAAAAAAGAATTAAAGTCGGAGTAAAACACCTACTGACCTTCTAACAGGAATCACCAGAAGTGAGTCATAATGAAAGAAATGAAAACTGAAGATTGAGGGTTGTCATCAAGTCATGATATTATATTTTCTTAGTGTCTCCAGCATACCTTAGATTTTATATATATATATGAATAAATATTAATTGATGTTTTCTGTGTGGTCTCAGCGGTTGCTTTGTGAAGTTGGAGACGGATGGCATGAGCCCGGTGGACTGGACAGTAGCAGACGTGGCCAGCTACTTCACCGCGGCTGGATTTCCAGAGCAGGCGCTCGCTTTCAGGACACAGGTGCGCTGAACCGAACTGCATGATCCTTGAAGAGTTCATACGCTACTTCACTGGACTTAAAGGGTTAGTTCACCCAAAAATTTAAATTCTGTCATTAATTACTCACCCTCATGTCGTTCTAAACCCGTAAGACCTCCGTTCATCTTCAGAACACAAATTAAGATATTTTTGATGAATTCTGAGAGCTCTCTGACCCTCCCATCGACAGCAATGTAATTACCACGATCAAGGTCCAGAAACGTAGCAAGGAGATCGGTAAAATAATCCATGTGACATCAAGGGTTCAACCGTAATTTTACGAAGCTACGAAACTACTTTTTATATTCAAATAAAACCAAAATAACGACTTTATTCAACAATTCTTCTCCTCCACGTCACCCTGGTGCCATTTTGGAGAATATCCGCTGAACGTAAACAGCGTATGCTGTTCTGTATCAGCTGCGTCACACAGATACGTTTTCTACGTTTATTTGAATATAAAAAGTATTTTCGTAGCTTCGAAAAATTACGGTTGAACCCCTGATGTCACATGGATTATTTTACCGATCTCTTCGTTACGTTTCTGGACCTTGATCGTGGTAATTACATTGCTGTCTATGGGAGGGTCAGAGAGCTCTCAGAATGCATCAAAAATAATTTGTGTTCTGAAGATGAACGGAGGTCTTACGGGTTTGGAACGACATGAGGGTGAGGAATTAATGACAGAATTTTCATTTTTGGGTGAACTATCCCTTTAAGACAGAAGCTATGCTATAGAGAGACGGTATAACTGAATCTTTGTTCCTGACAGGAGATCGACGGGAAGTCCCTCCTTCTGATGCAAAGGAATGATGTGCTGACAGGCCTGTCAATCAGACTTGGTCCCGCCCTAAAGATCTATGAAAGACACGTGAAGGTTCTGCAGCAGACCCATTTCCAAGATGACGAAGCTTTCTGCTGATACACACACACACACACACACACTTATATATATTAGCTATTGTACATGACAATGTACACCTGTACATATACCTACAATATTTACTCGTCCCAGAAAGCGCATATTCCTGAAAACATTCAGTGTGACTGTTCAGGACTCCCTCAATCAGTATCACCCTTTCAATCAGTGATCTCACAGCTACTGGAAAGAAATGCGGCCTGAAAAAAAAAAAAAAGAGTAAAATGAACTGAACTAAGCAGAAGCATGGAGTGAGTTTAGAACAAAGAAGACTGAAGAGAGTTTCTTTTTTTGGAAAGACTGTGCAGTTAATGCTGATCTGATGGAGACCACTGTTTGGATTGTGACCTTTGACCCTGAATTCATTTCATCAAGTGGATTTTTCCTGCAGTACTTATTCAGTCCAGTAGAGGGAACAGAGAGAGAATGCCATTTTTTCTTTGTGACCTCACTGGTTTCAAGTTTGTGACTGAAACCAAACAAAGGCTGGATGGTTTCCACTGCACACGAAACGTTTTGTTAAAAAAAAAAACTGGTTGCAGTTTGAAAGAAGTAAATTCTGACTGGATATTTGCTCTTGACATGCTCTTTTGCAATGACACTGAAACCCTTGTCTTCCCTCAGTGATGGACGGAATGCTTTCTTCCTGACATTCTGAAATTAACTTCTAATGTTCCTTCCAGTGTTCTTGCATCTTGCAATGTTATGTCAGGAAAAAAAAACTGTACGTTTGTGCAGATCTCTTGGGCGCATCTCACAGAGGATCTCCCTTTAAAGAGACTTTGACTCCTTTAATCTCGGATTTGCCAGCCATGACATTGTGGCCCCACGTGTGGAATATCACCATTGATAACTGAGCATTTTTTTTGTAAATATCAATCAGTTTTTTAAGGTGAAGTCGAAGTTGCGAAGCAATGACGATATTCCTTCACCAGCAGTTGAAGAATGTGTCTGAATGTCCTCAAATGCACAGAAAACCCCAAAGCCATGCGGCTCTTGAACTTTACACTTTGTGAAATATATATGTATCAGCCCATCAGATGAATATTGTGGGAACTGAGAAAACGATTTGTGTAAAACAATCAAATAATAATGGAACAATTTACAAGAACTGACTTGTGAGAGGAGAGATGTGGAAATGGGACGCACTGAATTGCTAACCTGTCCTTTAGCTCCAGTGTATTTTGCGTCGTTGGACTGATCGCACAGACAGATGGATCCATCACACTTGTAAATAGGACTGTTACTGATTCGGCCACTAAAGGCAGGTTCATTTCCATCGTGAAGAAACCCTGAATGAGTTTAAATTGCTCAGTGCAATAGGTCAGCCTGATTTCAGATTAGGGTAACCTGTTTTGCCTGACAATTGTAGCACCTTGAATTCCTCAAACTCTCTCTATTTATTTATCCCTATGTATGTTTGTTTATAAAATTGTATCTTCATTTTTATAACGTTAACAACTGTCTAAAATACGCAGATGTTCTTTGGTTGATTTACAGTCTAAAGACCACTTGCAACAAAAAGCTGGAGCTCACTGCAATGTTGATAATGCCTGCAGTTTCTCTGTTCATGCCTTTCATGGTGAACCTCGATGAAGTAGAATGTCAACAAACTGTTTTCTGTGTTCTCGGCGAGTCTTTGGAATGAGTACATCATTAGATTGCAAGAAAACAAGTATCGCAAAGCAAAAGAAAGAACTCATGTAAGACAAAAAGCTACAAGTGTTGTTGGAGATTAAAATGTTCAAGGGTTTGCCAGCAGAGGGTGACATGTATGGAAGCATATGGGTAGCAAAATTCATTTTGAAATGTAATATGCAAAATGACAATGCAATGTGTAAAATGGCAATGCATTTCTTTATTTAAATTTACATTTTCCCATACATATGTGCAACGTTTAGCAAAAACTGCAGCAAAATTATCATTTAAATGACATTTTTACGGGTAGGACACTTTTTCATCGTGATACCGCGTGATAATTGTAGCAAAATGCATTTAGGAAAAATGTCATTTAAATTATAATGTTGCTACAGTTTTTCCTTGGACATGTTAAAGATATCTAATCAATTTGCGTAATACAACTTTACAAAATTTGAATTTTGCATCTAATAAAGTGTTAAAATATGTTTTTCATTTACATATTAAAACTAGTGTAGGAAATGGCAAATGTAAATTATGTAATAGACTTTTCATTTTGCACTAAACGTTGCACATATGTATGGGAAAATGTAAATTGAAAAAAAGAAATGCATTGCCATTTTACACATTGCATTGTCATTTTGCATATTACATTTCAAAATTAATTTTGCTACCAATATGCTTCCATAGACATGGATACTGAAACGTTTAGTCTGGGATACAACTGTAAATGCCATCAGGGTATATGTTTACATATACAGCCATAAGTTACGACTTTAGACCAGCATCCACCTTGATGAATGTAGATGCTGGGAGTGACTCGAAAAGAATAATGCATTGTCCAATCATTGTGTACGTTATTGAATGTCCAAGTGTTTTTTCATTTGTGCTCTTTCTAGTTCATTTTGAGGAACTTCAGTCTTACTCAGTTGTTTCTGTATGTCCTTTAACCATTTCTGTTGTTTTGTAATGAGAAAAACGGAAAGCTTTTTGATTACTTGCATTAAAAAGAACTTTCCAGATGACTGCATCGATGGACGTTTATGAGTCTTTACACTGTTTGTGAATGTATGTTGGAAGAAGACAGGAATGTCTGGAATGAGCTCAGTGGGAAAGAGGGCAAACGCTTTCAAAAACAAAGGAAAACTCTGAAAAAGATTCATAGTTACTCACTGTTTGTGTACATATGCATGCAACTTGGGTCATTGTGATGGAAACTTATTTCTATGTGAGGGGGTGGGTTTCAGACATCCAGTGTGTGTTGCAGGCTGCCACACAAACATTTTCTAGGCATGGAGCCTGTGCAGGAAGAGCGTCACACTTTGTACAGCACTGCAGTGAACTGAGGACTACAGACGTCTCCGTCCCAGAACAGGCTCTTTTCCTCAGATAAACACCTCTACCAGCCTGTCCTGCGATGCCCGCCGCTGGAGCCTCAGAGTGAGTATAACTGCTAAGCTTTGGGTTTGAGTGTGTGTGTGTGTGTTTGTTTGTTTAGATTGAATATGTAAGATTCTTCAAAAAACAACAACAACAACAAAAAAACAACTTTATTTAGTTGTCAAACACTGCATTTGTAGTTTATTGTAGAGTGTAACAATTACAGTGTTTGTCTCTTTTTCATAAGATTCATAATACTTTTAATAACTCACAAAGTAATGTGTTTGTGTTTGTCTGAGTAGTTTGATCTTAGCAGTAGACATAACTTTGCTCTAAAAACAGACCAGTGTCACATGAAGAAACAGGAGACCAGACAGCAGAGTATGTGTGTGGGTTTGTATTCACATTAGTGCGACCAAGAACTGCTTTCTTGTTTCATTCTCCTCATTAAAACTCACAGTTACGACTATAAAATGGGGTTTTAAACCTTGATATGACCCAATGTGCTATCATTTTCTCAATTGCTTTATATTTTCATATTTGAATGTACATGAACTATTGATCTGTTAGTCCTTATGGAATGTATGTTTCCTTAAATTCACTTTTTAATAAAAAAAATATTGTGTTATTCTATTTTTATTTCTGTCCATTTCTTGAACAGTTCAAGAGAAGGTAATTGTCAGCTAAAAAGAAATATTATTTCGATAAATTAGATTTTTTTTTGTTGCATTCTATTGTTATTATTCTGTGCTGTTTAGTGTAATATTCCTATACAGTCTATTATAATATTTATATGCAGTGATTTTCAATATCTGTGGTGTGTACATAAATATATTCTGAAAACGGAGGCAGCAAAACAACAGCGGTAAGCTTTTACACATGTGCTGACTTGGCATTTATAAAAAGCAATGCATGTACTTCACTGTATATTATCAATGTTGTGGAAAATTGGATTGTGCATTAATATAATGTGTGTGTGTGTGTGTGTGTGTGTGTGTGTGTGTGTGTGTGTGTGTGTAGCTAAAAATAAACATTATTTCTATTAGTTACGTTTTATGCAGTCTTGATGCTGTTTTAGTGTACAATTTCTATCCAGGCTATTATAAAATTTATATGCAGTGATTTTCAATATCTCTGGAGCGTATATAAATATATTCTGAAGAAAGATGCCGGAAAACAAAAGCTGCCTTGGCTTTTATGAAGAACCGTGCACTTCACTGTTTATTATTAATGTTGTGGAAAATTGGATTGTGCATTGATATAATGTGTGTGTGGGTGTGTGTGTTGAACAGTCCAAAGTCGGAGGATTTCTCCACTGCTATTCTGAAGCAGAAGATTCGGCCGAATCGACTCATCGTGGATGAAGCCAACAATGAGGACAACAGTATTGTGTGCTTGTCACAGGTAACCTGTCTATTTGTGTGTGTGTATATGTGTGTGTGTGTGTGTGTGTGTGTGTGTGTGTGTGTGTGTGTGTGTGTGTGTGTGTACCTACTTAACCATATTTTGGGGACAAATTTGTACCCAAAAGTGAGCAAAACCTGACAAAATCGCCAAAAATCTCCATTTGGGGACATCCTCATTTGTAAAACTTGTATAAAATTAAAGTAAACAAAGTTTTTTTGAAATGCAGAAAGTTTTCTGTGAGGGGTAGGGTTTGGGGTAGGGGTGGGTTTAAGTTAAAAGGTGTATAACTATCTGTATAAAAACAATAGAAGTCTACAAAATGCCCCCATTTAGATAGCTAAGTAAACGTGTGTGTGTGTGTGTGTGTGTATGTGTCTGGCTGTGTGAGTGTGTGCATTTTTGTGACAAATGAGGACATAAATTTGTATAATGACAAAGGTATGACAGGTATTACAAGGAGAAGGTGACTTTTCAGGACATTACCCCATGTCCCCACTTTTCAAAACGCTTATAAATCACACAGAATGGAGTGTATTGAAAATCTGAAATAGCACAAAGTTTCCTGTGAGGGGTAGGTTTAGGGGTAGGGTTGGTTTAGGGCAATAGAATATATGGTCTGTACAGTAGAAAAACCATTACGCCTATGTGATGTCCCCACTTTTCACAAAAACAAACCTGTGTGCGTGTGTGTGTGTGTGTGTGTGTGTGTGTGTGTGTGTGTGCAAATAGTTGAGTGTTGACTGATAAAACTGCAGTCTGTAATTTATATCACTAGCTGCACCAAATTAAATTTAAAAAATAATTGTTTCAAACATGTTTCCCAAACATGTGCATATAAATCCCTTCATGAGTGTTACAGGTTAAAATGGAGGAATTGCAGCTGTTTCGTGGAGACACTGTGGTGTTACGCGGTCGGAAGCGGAGACAGACGGTCTGCATCATTCTCACAGACGACACGTGTGGCAATGAGCGTGTGCGCATGAACAGGGTGACGCGCAACAACCTGCGTGTGCGCCTCGGTGACGTCATCAGGTGTGCGATGATGACATCTGGTTTCACTGCTCTCTTATTTCCCAGCAAGATCATTAAATACATTTATTTAAAGGGGTCATATGGTGCGATTTCAACTTTTCCTTTCTCTTTGGAGTGTTACAAGCTCTTGGTGCATAAAGAAGATCTGTAAAGTTGCAAAGACTAAAGTCTCAAATCCAAAGAGATATTCTTTATAAAAGTTAAGAGTCAGCCACACCTACCTAAAACGGCTCGTTCTAGCATGCCCCCACATGTCTACATCACTGTGTGGGTAGATTTGCATAACGCCGCCCAAATGTTCACGCAAAGAAAGAAGGCGTAACTTTTATTCTCGCTGTAGTTTTGTTGTTGTCGCTGCCATGTCGTGAATGTGCAGTGCGTTTCTTTGTGAAAGCGAAACTACTTTGTTTGGTCTTCCAAAAGAGGATGATATCCGCTTCGTCATGCCT